TGATTGTGGCTTGCCTTTGGTGAACAGTGGTTCTTGGCTGAGCATTGTGTTATTTCAGATTTCCTCTTACCCTGTGGGACTGTGAGTGCTGTCCTTCTGTGGGGCAGGCCCCCTCCAGTGGACGAAGGGAGAGTCGGAATGTGTTAAGTGGAGGCAAGTACCTGTCACTGTTCTTACGGGCTCGGGGCCTCTGTGTCCCCTTATGGTGGCCACTCGAGCACTGCCGCAACACTCACTTCCACTGTTTCTGCTTGGAGTCAGGTGGCCTGGTGTCCCCACTGTTGGCAACTGTGAGGCAGGCAAGGGACAAGACCAACCCTCCTCGAAGCCGTGGTGTGTTTTCTGAATTCAGTACCCTTTCAGTTGTCCCAGGCTCCCTCTGCCCCCACCACCCCAAGGCTGCCTCTGCTCTGTGCAGTAGGCCATTCCTGCTTGCTTTTGGGCATGAGCTGTTCCGTCAGCCTGACCCACCTGCTTTGCCTGCTCAGGGTTCCTCTTAATCTGTGTCACGCTGTAGATACTTCTTCTTGTTTTCCAACACGCTTGTACATTTAAAGAACTGCTGCCTTAATGATAGAATGAATCCCGTGATACTGAATTGGGGTCAGAGATATCAGTATGAACCAATGTTCATTTGAATGTGTATGCAGATAGGTACAAAAATAAATACGGATGTGTGTGCACACATAGGTTAGTATATGTATGCATATTTCCTAGCTTCTTCCACTAAGAGGGCCTAGAAGCATTTCCACCCCAGAGCACCTAGCATGCCTAGTGCCACATCTTGGTTTCCGAAACTATTCTCCAGTAAAAGAACCAGCATCCTTACGAAAGTGGCTCATTCTGGGATGGGGGCAGGGAAAATACAAGAGTGTCTGATAGGGCCCGGAAGCAAGGAGGTGCTAAAAAGGAGGTGGGGGCGTGTCGGAAAGAAGTAGGAACCAACCTGGAGGAGCTCCAAATGTTCCCAGCTGGGACAATTTCAGCAACAAAATTAATAAAACAGTTGTATGGCCTCAGGAATAAAACAACTACCTTTAAGTCCATACATGCCATATAAATAAATGATTAAGTCAATAAATGGGGGAGACAGAACAGCTCTATCTTAGAGAAAGTTTTAAATTAATGTAGAAAGAATGAAGGGAATATAAAATCCCCATTAGAATACCACCGTGATCATTGCAGCAGACAAACATAAGCTGGGGAGTTAGTGGGTGGCACTTTAAGGAGAAGGAGGATCTTTGCGTGGCCTCAGAGTATCTCCCAACATTGTGAATTGTCCTCAAATCTGTGCTGTTCTTTAGGAGCTAAAACTTAATTCCTCTCCCCTGAGTGTGAGCTGGACCTAGTGACTCACTTTTAACTAATAGAACATGGGAAGGGGAGAATGGTAAGTTTGCAGTGCAGAACCCTGGCAGAGCCCGCCTTAGCCAGGGATCATGGTTAATATCATCTGTGACAGTTGTGTCAGCATTGTGCACCTACGCCACCATACAGGGAGAAGGGTGCTTCTCTGGGGTCTTCACCCTCAAAACCACCACCTCAGTTGAATCACGAGGGAGCACCAGACAAGCCCAAGTTGCCAAGTACCTGATGGGTGTTCTTCCAAAGTGTCAAGGTCATGTAGAATGAACAAAGGTGCGGGAGCAAAGGTCACAGAGTGGAGGACAGCTGCCGGGAGGGCTGGATGCAGTCTGTCCTGGAGCAGAAAACGCCGGGAAGGCTGAGCGCCTCTGTGTAGCTGATAGTACTGCACAGGGTTAATGTCTTAATGGTGACTGTTGCACATTTGTGTAAAAGGTTGACATCATGAGAAGCTCAGTGAGACGTATACGGCAAACTCCACATTAACTTGGAACTCCCCTGAAGTCAAACTATTTCAAAATAAGTAGTTAAAAGATTATCTTTCTCTATGCTCCAATTTGTAGATGAGGAGGATAGTAAAACTTATGTTCAGTTTTCCATCTTAGTCCAGTAGGTGCTTTTGGTTATTAAAAAAAAATTACACAAAATAATGACAATTCAATTTTTATTGTCAAATGGGCTAAATGTCCTTCTGAAGAAGATATGAGTCATTGGATGTCAGGATCCTAGCGGGAAAGAGGTGAGACACACAGATGGAAGTTGAGCAGAGTTTGACTGGATGGCTCATTCACCAAGTCGAGGGCAGGGTTATGGGAAACCCCCATACCCTGTGGGGCAGTGAAGCACCCTGGGCTGGCCACATAGCAAGTGATGATCACTCCAGGCCTAAAGGGGCAGGAGGATGGATGCAGTTCTGTGCAGGCCCTCCCTGGCCCTGCAGAGTCTCTCTGTGGCTCCCCGTTGGCTGGAACCAACCCTAAGCAGTAGGGCAAGGGAGCTTGCTATGCAGGTCAGCTTTCCAGGCACCGTCCAGATCCAGAGAAGTGCCTGGATAGTATCCGTCACCATCATGATCTGAATCAGTGAAGGCATCCTGTTTGATACAATAAGGCAAAATTTAGAAAATCTAGAACTGAAACAGAATCCCTTAGGATTTTTCATAGAAACCTGTACTTGTAAAATTAAAAGAAATTTAAAAGTGCCTAAGTGTGTGTGATCCAAGTGCACATTTAGGAAGGGCCTCCCCAAGCCTCTTCCACGTGGTCTCTGAAATAGATTCTCCAGCTCCCTGCTAATTTGCTTTTTGCAGTCTTAGCAAAAAGCCACCAAGCTTGTGCTTGGACTGGCCAGTTCCCGCAGCTTATCCTGACAGTTCCAGACTGCCACTCCAGGAAATATCCATCTACCTTTCCCACCCCTGGTCAGCTGGAAAGCCGGGCAGAGTAGCTCATTCTGACGTCAGTGAGATACTGTTCGCTGATTTCTTAGACTGTCCTTTCTGGGAGGCTTACCCTTTGCCCTTTCCTCTCCACCTAGGCCAACACTGGACAAATTGATGCACCCCGGGAGCAGCACAAAGTCATCGGCAGCAACCTCGCCCTCATTCAGGTGACTCGCCCCTCTGCTGGCAGCCAGGCCCACTCCAGGGAGGAGGGTGAAAGCAAGTGAGCCCTGTGTGAGTGCTCTGGGCTGAGCTGCGGGGACTGGGTCCATCCGGCCCCCCACGCCCACCAGACCACACTCCTGCGGCAGCTGGAGGCTCAGCCCGACCCCAGGGCACCTGCCATGTCCACCTGAAGCCAGGGCCTCTTCTGGGGGCCCAGGGCCCTTCCGGCTCCTTCTTCTCCCCAAGACAAGCTTGTTGCAAGATTTGCCCTTACTTGCCCACTTCTGTTTCTCATGGCCTGGAGAGTGCTAACTGCCTTCTCTTCTCACCATCTTGACTCAAACTGCTTGTCAAGGTCACTGACATCCTCCTAGTCAGGACAGCCTGTGATTGCCTTATTCCAGTGACCCTGCTCATCCTTTCTGGGGCTCCTTCAGACCCTGCCTGCTGGAAGTTCCCTCCAGCCCCTTGCCCCTCCCTCTCTGCCTGTTTCTGCTCAGCCTTTGCAGGACAGATCCCTTAAAGCCTTCATACTCTTTCAGACTTGCACCTCCTTGTAACAGACCAGGTAATCACTCAGTCATATTAGCTAGGCCTAGTGAATAGTCTTCCCAGTTAACCAAACTAGAAATCGAGTCACCCTTGGCTTCTCTCCACCCCTCATTCTTAGGTCCGTTCACTCTGCAGATTCTACCTCTGAGCTGTGGTCAAATCCAGCCCTGCTTCTCCTCCTCACGTTGGCCTCTTGGTCTCCTGACTGGCTGACCGTAAACCTCTTCACTGTTCTGCTCCAGGCTTCTCAACCTCCAGCTCACCTTCACATGGCCACCTCCATGACCTCTGGCCCTCTGCATGACATTTTCTAAAACCTAAAGCTGATCAGGCCTCTTCTCCTTTAGCCCCTTTGTCGGTTCCCCCGGCCAAGCATGGGCCTGTCCCAAAGGCACTCCTGGTCTGGTCCTGCCGCCCCCACAGCCTCATGTCCCCACACCTGCCACCTTTGCTAATGTAGCCATCTTTCCTTGGACTGTCCTTTCTCCTCTTGATCACCTGGTAGTGAAGCTTTTAAAGACTCCTGTAAGGTCTCCATTCCAGCCTGACACCAGGCTCAGCTCTTCAGGGCCTTGCACATGCTGCTGGGGCCGCCTGGCCACAGTTCTGTGTCTGGACGCTGCTTCTCCACTTGAGGTGAGTGTCACGGGCCAGGAGCATGGCTGGGGGCTGACGAGCGTTGGAGGTTAAGTGAGATGCTCATCGTCCCCTGACACGGGGTCTGGCAGTAAATAACTTGGCAAAAAGTGACTTGTCTCACTTCCTGTTTTCCACCAAATCTTTGTCCATGTGCATACACATTTCCACATGATTCTCAGCCTCCTGGTCTTGCTCTGGACCAGGCCCTGGCTTGGCACATGGTCATAGCACAACATGGATATAATTCTGTCTCCTCCATATTTTGAAAAGCTTAACATTAAATCATATATGGGCTATGGGTTTCATGATTGAACTTGTTAATAACTCCAGCATGTTCTGTCACATAAATATGTCCAAGAGTGATATTTAAAATTTTTAACAACAGGTAGGGCCTGGGAACTCACTGGTAAGACTGAAGGGCAGCCACTGAGAGCTGGTCTGGTAGGGCCGATACGAACTTGCCCCCACTCAACCCATTCCCCCTTCACCAAACCATCACCACGCAGGTGTGTTGGCTTCCACTCAAAAAATTATACTGCAATGAAATTGTTCTTTTTTTACATGGATGGCTTAGGAGAACTTCCCTCAAGTTCATGAGGTATTAACAGTTTAAAGCTCTTGATTTTTTCCAGAAGGAATACAAAATACTTGAATTCCTAGTATTAAATAATAGCACAGATACTAATATTTCAATTATTAGGGAGAAATCCCTAACCTCACCAGCATCACAAGTATTCTTCTAAACCATTTTTTGCATGTACCATGTATATATATTTACTATAAATATATATATATATGCTTATAGACAATATGTTTTTTTAAAGCATAGAAAGTATACTATACATATAATTCTGTAACATTTACTTTTAAGAATGACTTAATGAAAATCACTTGAAGTGGCAGATAGTAAGACTCAGTAAATATTAGATCTAATTATCATGAGCATTACCACGTGGCCCCTTGTGTACATGTGCACATGTTTTCCTGAGAAGGTGCCAGATCATAAGGTATGTGGAAAATCATAGCCAAATTTTGCCCTAAGATTCCTGAACCAATTTTACCACTATCAGTGTATCAAAAAACCATTCCAATATGTATTTTATATTATCAGCCTTTTACATTCTAATTTACCTAGTTTGATAGGTAAAAATAGCATATCCCATCCCTTTATTGATTGACTCGTTCATTTGGCAAATACAGATTACCTGAGTGCCGGCTGAGGGCAGACCTTCCTCCGAGGGGGGAATCCCAGCAGAAAATAAGCTAGCACCTCTCTTTTAAAGGAGGAAAACAAACATTAGTTATAAAAAATTAAGATAGTTTCAAACTGGGATTTTATTTTAAATTTGCCTGAATACTAGAGAAGTTGATCATCTTTTTGCCTGTTGCATAGCCATTTGTTTCCTTTTTTGTAAATTGCCTACCCACATCCCCTGTGTATTTTTCTGTCAGGTTGTCTTTTTTAAAAAAAATTATTATTGACTTGTAAAATGGACTTCATTCTTTTAGATACTAGTCCTTTGTTAGTTATATATGTTTCTCCAATTTTATCCCTGTCTGAAATTTTGGTATCTTTTATCATATAGAACCCATACTTGGACTATATAAATTTTACCTATTTTTTTCTTTATAGGTTTTGCACGTTGTATCTTTAGAAGTCCTTCCCTAGTCCAAAATCTGAAACATATTATTCTGTATTTTCTTCTTCTTTACACTAGGTTTTCATGTGTGGTGATTGTGTGTGTGTAAGTTATAAAGTACAAATCTATTGTTTTCCCCAAACAGATATTCAGTTTCCCTTACCTTATTTATTCCACAGTCACCCATTCCATGCTAATCTGAAATGCTATCTTCATCATACTAAATTTTTGTATATGAAGATGTCATATATTCATGATGTGATTCCTGGACTCTATTCCATCCTACTGATCTGTTTGTCTGCTTTTCTGCTAGTACCACCTTGTTCTTAACTACTATGGTTTTAAAATACATATTGATTAGAGTATGCCAAAACTCCCTCTTGATCTTTCTCAAAATTTTCTTGGTATTCTGGACCATCTGCTTATCTTTGTGAAATGTAAAGTGAATTGTCAAGCACCATGAAAAACCTTGCGGAACTTTGATGGGAATTACATAGGTAAATTGGGGAGCGTTTCTCATCTGCATATGTGGTAGAGCTCTTTGTTTACTCAACCTTCTTAAGTAACACAACCTGTCCATTGAGAAGTTTTGAATTATTGCTAGCAGATGCCAGAATTGATACTCAGACCTGGGGCGCCTTGTGGCAGTGGCCTGAGTGGGTGGCAGAGATGTGTCCACTGGGACGGGAAATACAGCCAGATATGGGGGACAGTGTAGAGAAAGGGGGAACCAGCATGCAGGGCAAGTGCCAGGGAGGAAAGCTGGGGAGAGAGATGGAAAGTGTGCAGAAGGCCTCCAAGGTGGAGCCGCGTGTGCATCACGGAGCATTTCTAGGTGGCAGGGGGTCAGGTCTCTACTGCTGGAGCTTCAGAGCACTTTTGCCTGAACCAGTGAAAGAGGTACCATGAGCAAGAGACTGGGGCCCTTGACTGGGTAGATGAAGAACTAGACTTTGTGATGGAAGGTGCACTGCGTGGGGACAGAGCAGGAGTTTTCAAGGGAGCTGGGCAGAAGGAAGGTGTTAGTCCATGTTTTTCCCAGGTTGGAGGGGCCATTGGAAGGCTTTAGGCTGAGGGGGAGGAGGCAGTGGCAGGTGGCGTGATCACCTCTGGAGATCAGAGAGGAGGCGTGGAGAGGGGTGGGCAGGAGCGACGATGCTCAGAGGGACCCTTCCTCCTGTTTCATTCTCTGCCCCGCAGTTGCAGGCCACCGTCGTGGGACTCCTGGCTGCCGTGGCCGCCCTGCTGCTGGGCGTGGCATCTAGGGAGGAGTTAGACTTCACGAAGGTGGAGCTGCTGTGTGCCAGCAGCATCCTCACCGCCTTCCTCGCGGCCCTGGCCCTAGGTGAGCCACACCCTGCCCCAGCAGCCAGCCCTCCCGGCTTGCTGCTGTCAGTTCCTTGGGGCTCTGCTCTCTGAGATCTGCAGTATCAATTCCTCGAGCTGTAAAAGATGGAGCACTAATGGTGGCGAACCCGGTGTCCTGCCAGGGTGTGGGGAGAGCCTGCTGGGTCTGCATGGCCCACCTCGTGGGTGGGCGAGAGAGGTGGCAAGCCCTCTCCTAGGCAGGCGTGTGCCAGAGCAAGCTGCTGTCTCCATGCCTCTTCCCTCTGCTGTTTAAACTGGCCCTTGCTCTGTGGACACATTCATTTGTTCATTCATTCATCTGTTCACCTATTGATTCATTCATTCTTTCAGTCTTTAAGATTTCTTGAGCTCAGCTTGTGTTTGGACCTGTGGTGGTTCTGGAGTCTGCAGTCAGGTGGGGAGCAAGGCTCAGGCTTTAGCTTAAATTTCATCCCTTCCCAGAGGCATTTTCTGCTACTCTTCCCCTAGGGCTGTTCTCCCCCACCATGACCACGCTCTGCCCCACCATGTACCTATTTTCATTTTGGAGCACTTGTGAAAATCTGAAATCACCTCGTTTCTTTGTTCACTTTTTGTCTCACCTCTCGCTAAAATGTCAGCTCCTCACAGAGGGGCCCACATCACCTATTCTGCCATCTGCTGCCCCTCTCACACTCTCTGCTACACAGTGGATGCTTCCTACACGTTTACAGGAAGGCAGAGCAGGGGCAGATGTAACCCTGTCAGGGAGTTCATGCAGGGCAGTGGGGAAGCCATAGTTGCTCTGCAATTATGATGGGATCTCATTCATTCATTCATTCCTCAGTATTTACTCTATTTACTGCCACTCTGTATTACAGCGTGGAATATACTGGTGACCAAATGCACAAGGGCCCTGTTTTGTGATGTCTATATTCTAGCTTGGAGTGAGGCATAAGTGCACAGGCACATAAAGAATTTTGTGCCAGCCATCTCTTCCTTTCTGAGGCCTCTGATCAGCTCTCTAGAGTGGCCTGTGTTCACAGCCGTGCTTTATTTTAGTCCTGTGTATTTGCTTCAAATGCTTGCTCACTTGTGTTCTGTCTGTTCCTCCACCCAGCAGGCCTTCACTGTGTGAGTGTAGAGCCTGATGGTTATTTTCAGCACTTCAAACAGGCCCAGGCATAGACCCAGCTTCCAAACATTTGCTAAATGAAGGGACTTTGTTCTGTTTCTTTTCTGGATTGTGTGTGTGTGTGTGTCTTACAAACCACGTGCAAGTGCCGAGCGGAACAGGCGGTGACTCTACAAGTCGGATTTGTCTGTGCACTTCTGTGCCCCAATCCCCTCTGAGCGCAGCTCCTGTAAGTTCATGTGGCAGCTCCTACCAGACCGCAGTGCTGAGCTGCTGCACGTGACCGGGAGGACGGTAGGTGTGTGGAAGCCTGGAAGCAGGTCTGCAGACTGCCCTCCCAGGGTGGATGTTTGCTGCTGGCTGTGTGCCTGTGTGCAGGTCAGGGCAGCACTACTCAGCTGGGTGGGATGAAGGGCCGGGGGCATGTGCCTGTGCCTCCCAGGACATAGGGCCCAGGAGATTCTTAGCATGAAGTCTCCTCTGAAAGCCCATCAAAGGTTTGGAAGGCCAGTGCTGTTCTGGGGGCCTCTGTAGAGAATGCCATTCCTAGCTCCCCATTTTATAGATGGGGAAACTGAGGACCAGAGATGGGGTGGAGCTTGGCAGCATGGACATAATCAGATTGTTCAAAGATGTGTGGAGGTTCAGAAACATTGCCTGTGGCTCCCGGCATGACCTCAGCATGACTGAGTCACAAAGCCAGGTGCTGGCAGTGGCAGTTTTCCTAAGCGCTCAAACCAGTGATGTCGCTCTGTGTAGTCTTCGTGGGGTTGTCACCAGGCCACCAGCTCAGCCATGCAAACTCAGATTCACTTAGAACTGATATTTCAAAAGGGAGAAAGCAGCTGTGACCTGGCCCCAAAACGGGACTCACACTGGCCAATGTCAGCAGCTTTAGGATGGCATTGAGGTGAAAATTTGAATTTTTAGAATTGCAGAATAGTGGGGAAAGCATTAAAGCCCCAATAGATTAAATATAAAGTATCTTCTTAAAGACCTGTCTGAGATGCTGTGGGTTAAGTCCCACACAGCAGTGGCGGCTAGAGGTCCACACGTGACAGTCCCCTCAGAACAACAGTCAGAAAGTAGGACCTGAGGAGGTGTGGCCACAAAGAAGTGCCTCTCAGGTCTCCAGCTGGGGAGCGGTCTCCAGGGCTGTCCCCTAAAAGCCCTCACCCCACCACATGCTGCCGCCTCCTCGAGGGGGCCCTGCTGGGCTCCTGAGGTGGGTCTGTCTGCAGACTGGGACCCACGACGTGGCCTTGCCTCGAGGCCCCGGACAGCCTGCCAGGCTCCCCAGCCCTGCCCTGTGGTCTGCATGCACCCCCACCCTTGCCTTCCTCCTGCTCTGGGGGCCGACCTGCACCGCTCACCAATACTGATGCCACCCCCTTCCCGCCACAGACTCCTCCCGAGACCTTCCTCTCAGCTGCTTCCACCTGGGGACCATCTCCCTGAGGACCCCAATGGAAACGGGAGCCCATGCTCAGTCCCAGGGGCTCCCGTTTGCTCAGAGCTGCTTGGAGCCCTCTTCCCTGCAGTGAGGGGCTATGAGCTTCATGTCTGTAGCTCCAAGGGGTTTGGAAGCCAGCTACCTGCCTGCTGTCTCCCCAGCAGCTTCGAGCATGTCCTCGAAGCTGTCAGGCCTCTCCTTAGCATCATGCCCACAAGTCACAAGCAGAGTCCAGCCCTCCCAGTCTTCTGAGGCCCCAGTGCAGCTGGAGAAGTGGGGAGTCGGGGCAGCCTGGCTTTTAGTCTAGGTTTGTGTGGATAGAGGCAAGTTACTGAGCAGCCTCCTCACCACTTTCTCATCCCGTACCACCAGTCCCCTGTCCGCAGAGCCACCTCAGGGTCTGGATTCCCTGTGCTTTGAATCTCCTCCATTTGCTCTCTGCAGGAATGCTGATGGTCTGTGTAGTGATCGGTGCACGAAAGCTGGGGGTCAACCCGGACAACATTGCCACACCCATTGCAGCCAGCCTGGGAGATCTCATCACGTTGTCCATTCTGGCTTTTGTTAGCAGCTTCTTCTATAAACACAGAGGTAGGCCTACTTGGGTCCCACCAGCAAGGCCCCCAGCACCCCTCTTTCCATTTGGGCATCATTCCCACATCTATGGGGTATGTTGTGAAGTCAGAAATCCTCCTTATATTTTATTTTCTTTAAAATTTATTTTTATTGACATCTAATTGACATACAATATCCTATTAGTCTCAGGTAGACTTTATAGTGATTTTGGTATTTTTATATATTAGGAAATGATCGTCACTAGTTACCATCTGTCACCAGACAAATAATAGTACAGTATTACTGACTACATTCCCTGTGCTGTGCTTTATATCCCCATGACTGATTTATTTTATAACTGGATGTTTATACCTCTTAATCCAACTTCACCTATTTCATACCCCCATCCCTCCCCTTCTGTTAACAGTAGTTTGTTTCCTATATCTGATTTTGTTTCTGTTTTGCTTTATTTATTTGTTTTGTTTTGTTAGATTCTACATACAAGTAAAATCATATATTTATCTTTCTCTGAGTTCTTTCACTTAGTGTAATGCTCTTTAGTTCCATCCATGTTGTCTTAAATGGCAAGAGTTCATTCATTCTTTTTTATGACTGAATAATATTCCATTGTATATATATAATGCATCATCTTTATCCATCTATCGGGGAACACTTTGGGTGCTTCCATATCTTGGCTACTGTAAATAATGCTGTAATGAACGTAGGGGTGCATATGTCTCCTTGGATTGCTGTTTTCACTTTCTTTAGAAAAATACCCAGAAGTGGGATTGTTGGATCACATGTAATTCTATTTTAATTTTGGAAAGAACCTCCACACTGTTTCCCATACTGGCTGCACCAATTTACACTCCTACCAATGGCGTACAAATGTTCCCTTCTCTCTACATCTTGACCAACACTTGTCTTTTTTTGTTTTTTAGCTAATAGTCCATGTGAAAAGTGTGAGTTAGTACCACTGTGGCTTTCTTTGATTTGCACTTCCGTGATTAGTGATGTGGAGCATCTTTTCATGTGCCTCTTGGCCATCTGTATGTCTTCTTTGGAAAAATGTCTGTTTAATTCATCTGTCTATTTTTTAATAAGGCTTTTGGTTTTTTAATATTAAGTTGTGTAAGTTCTTTATATATTTTGCATGTTACGCCCTTGGATGTATGATTGCACATATCTTCTTCCTTTCAGTAGGTTGCCTTTTCATTTTGTTGATGACTTCCATCACTATACAAAAGCTTTTCTAGTTTAATATCCCGTTTATTTATCTCTTATTGCCCTTGCTGGAGGAGACTGGTCCAAAAAAATTGCTAACATTGGTGTTGAAGAGCTGACTGCCTCTATTTTCTTCTAGGAGTATTGTGGTTTCAGGTCTTACGTGCAAGTCTTTAATCCATTTTGAGTTTACTTCTGTATGTAGTATAAGATAGTGGTCCAATTTTATTCTTTTGCATGTAGAAGTCTGGTTTTCCAACACCATTTATTGAAGAGACTATCTTTTCTCAATTGTATATTCCTGCCTCCTTTGTCACAGATTAATTGACTGTCTATGTGTGGCTCTTTTTCTGGGCTCTGTCTTCTATTCCATTTATCTAAGTCTATTTTGGTGCCAGTCCCATACTGTTTTTATTATTACAGCTTTGTAGAATAGTTTGAAAGGAGGGTGCATGATACCTCCAACTTTGTTCTCAAGATTATGCTTTGGCTATTTGGAGTCTTTTATGATCCCAGACAAATTAAAGTATTATTAGCTCTAGTTCTGTGAAAAATGCCATTGGTGTTTTGAAAGAGATTTCACTGAATCTGTAGATTGCTTTGGGTAGTATGGCCATTTTAACAGTATCATCTCTTCCTATCCTGCGTCTTTCCATTTGTGTCATCTTCACTTTTTGTCATCAGTTTCACACTACAGGTCTTTCACCTCCTCGGTTAAATTTTTTCCTAGGTATTCTTTTTGATGCAATTGTAAATGAAATTGTTTTCTTATTTTCTCTTTCTGATAGCTACTTATTAGTATATAGAAACACAACTGATTTCTGTGTTATATTTGCATCCTATTACTTTACGCATTCATTTATTCTAGTTGTTTTTTGGTAGACTCTTTAAGGTTTCATACATATAGTATCGTCATCTGCTCATGGTGACAGTTTTATTTCTTCCCTTCCTATTTGGATATCTTTTATATATTTTTCTTGCCTAATTGCTGTGGCTAGGACTTCCAATACTATGTTAAACAATACTGATGAGAGTGGGTACCCTTATTTTGTTCCTGATCTTAAAAGAAAAGCTTTTAGCTTTTCACCACTGAGTATGGTGTTAGCTGGGGTTTGTCTTATATGGCATTTATTATGGTGAGGTATGTTTCTTCTATACCCACTTTGTTGAGAGTTTTTATCATGAATTTATATTGAATTTTGTCAAATGCTTTTTCTGCATCTATTGAAATCATGATTTTTATCCTTTGTTTTGTTAATGTAGTGTATCACATTGCTAATTTCTGGGTATTGAACCATCCTTGCATCTCTAGACTAAATCCCACGTAATCATGATGTATGATCATTTTACTCTTAATGAATTCAATTTGCTAATATGTTGTTGAGGATTTTTGCATTTACATTCATCACGGATAGCAACCTATAATTTTCTTTTTTCATGTGGTGTCTGTCCACATGGTATCAGAGTAATGCTGACATCATAAAATGACTTTGGAAGCATTCTTTCCTCTTCAGTTTTTTGGACTAATTTGAGAAGGATAGGTACTACTCTTATTTAAATGTTTGGTAGAATATACCTGTGAAGTTGTCTCTGGACTTTTGTTCTTTGGAAGTTTTTAAATTACTGATTCAATTTCATTACTTCTAATCAATCTGTTAAGATTGTTAATGATCCTGTCTTGGAAGGTTGTATGTTTCTAGGAATTTATCCATTTCTTTTAAGTTTTCCAATTTGTTGGCATATAATTGTTGATAGTAATCTTTCATGATCCTTTGTATTTCTCTGGTGTTGTAACTTCTCTTTCATTTCTGATTTTATTTATTTGGGCTCTCTTTTTTTCTTGATGAGTCTAGGTAGAGGCTTATCAATTTTGTTTATCTTTTCAAAAAACCAGCTTTTTAGTTTCATTGATATTTTCAGTTTTTTCACTTTTTCATTTCTTTGCACTCTGATCTTTTTATTTCTTTCCTCCTACAAGTCTTGGGTTTTGTTTGTTCTTTTAATAGTTCTTTTAGGTCTAAAGTTAGATTGTTTATTTGGTATTTTTCTTGTTTCTTGAGGTAGGCTTGTATCACTATGAACTTCCTACGTAGAACTGCTTTTGTTGCATCCCATATATTTTGGAAAGTTTCTGCATTTTTATTTGTCTCAAGTATTTTTTTATTTCCTCTGATTTCTTTATTGAAACCTAATAACATGTTGTTTAGTTTCTTTGTGTTCGTGTTTTTTCCAGTTTTCTTCTTGGGGGGAGATTCCCACTGTCCTACTCACGCCGCCATCTTGGCTCCGCCCCCACTACTTACTTTTTGACATTACAATTGGCTTCTACTATTTTTGTCTTTTGACCTTGATACTAACTTTTTAAGTGGCTGATTTACTGCTTTTATTATGTATTTGCCTTTACCAGTGAGAGTTTTCCTTTCATATAGTTTTTTATATCTAGTTATGGCCTTTTCTTTCCTGTTTAGAGAAGACCTTTTAACATTTCTTGTAAGGCTGGTTTAGTGGTTGATAAACTTTTTTAGCTTTTGCTTCTCTGGGACTCTTTTTCTCTCCTTCAGTTTGCAGTGATAAAGATTATCAGGTAGGTAATTCTTGGTTGTAAGTTTTTCCTTTTCAGTACTTTAAATATATCCTGCTCCTTCTTTTGAGCCTGGAAAGTTTCTACTTAAAAGTCAGCCAGCTCATGGTTTTATGGGGTTTCTCTTGTATATGACTATTCGATCTTCTTTTATTGCCTTTAGGTTTTTCTCTTTGATCCTTTAACTTTTGCCACTTTAATTATATATCTTATTGTGGATATACTGTGGTTCATTTTGTTTGGGACTGGATTACCTGGACCTGAGTGCCTGTTTCTTTCCCTAGGTTAGGGAAGCCTCAGCCATTATTTCTTCAAATAAGTTTTCTTTACCTTTCTCTCTCTCTTCTTCTTCTGAGACCTATAATGCTAATATTAGCACATTTGATGTTCTCCCAGAGGTCCCTTAATCTAGTCTCTTTTAAAACTCTTTTTCTTTTTGCTGTTCTGATTGGGTGATTTCCACTCTTTTGTCTACCAGATCACTGATCCATTCTTCTGCATCATCTAATCTGCTGTTGATTCCTTCTAGTGTATTTTTCAGTTCAGTTATTATTTTCTTCAGCTTGCTGACTTATTTTTGGTACTTCTATTTTCTAACTTTTTGTTGAAGTTCTCACTGTGTTTCTCCATTCTTCTCTAAAATTTGATGAGTATCTTTATGATTATTAGTTTGAAGCCTTTATCGGGTAAATTATTTATCTCCATTTCATTAGGGTGTTTTTTCTGTGGTTTTATCTTGTTCTTTCATTTGGAACATGTTCTTCTGTCTCATTTTGTTTGACTTTCTGTGTTTGTTTCTATGAATTAGGCAGAACAGCTACCTCTCTCAGTTTGAAGCTGTGGCCTTGTGTATGAATGTCCCCTGTGTAGACTTTGCATGGTTGGTGGCTTTGGCTGGTGACTGTAGCCAGAGAGGGCACAGGCTGGGAGAGCTGGAGTGCATGTGGGCCAGGGGGTCCCTGGGTGTGCCAGGCCTGGGCTACCCTGCAGGATGGCTGGAGCTGGAGCAGGTGTGCAGCAGGTATTCCTGTGGCACTGTACCAGGGCCACCCTGGTGTGGGGGGCTGATGTGTGGCAAGCACTGGCCAGGGGATCTAGGATGGTCCATGTCTGGGCTGTGCCAGAGGGATAGCTGGAGCTACAGAGGCACTAGGCCATGCCCCAATGCACTAGCATGTATCCCCTTTTTCTTTCTCTTCTCAGACAGTTGGTATCTGATGCCACTGGTCTGCATTGGCTTCATAGCCCTGACCCCTGTTTGGGTCCTCATTGTCAAGCAGAACCCACCCGTCATGAAGATCCTGAAGTTCGGATGGTTACCAATCATCCTAGCGATGGTCATCAGCAGGTGAGCAGGAGTGAGTCCGCTGCCTCCTTTCTCCCTCCTCATGCAACCCTTGGCCTTTGTGTTCAGGCACATGGCCTGAGCTGCAGAGCCTCTGGAGCAAGGGCAGCACTCACTGCCTCAGAGCTCATGGGTGTGTTAACTGCATCTGGGTACTGGTTGAGCCACCTCTTTGCTTTTTATCACCCTCTCACCAAAAACCCTAGACTTTATTTATATTGAGAGGTAGTCCTATTTGCAGTAGCCAGAGCATCGGACAGCCAGAAAGAGCTTATCCAGGAAACAGCAGACAAGTGTATTGTTACGTGGCTCCCCGCCCTGTTGTGGCGCTGTGGGGTACCAGGTACCAGGTCTCCCACTTCCTCTCACTGGCCTGCACCACTGCTTAGGCTGAAGGGCATTCCTTACCTGACCTCAAGGCAGTGTCTCTGTGAACACCATTTCTACAGCATGGCAGCTGATGGGATCTAGAGGGGCTGGGGGATGAGTCCCCTTGACCCGTTGGCCCTTTTGTTCCACCCTCCAGCCCTGGTCTCCAGGGCCCTTTCTGCTAGTTGATCTTGAGGAGAGCCACCTCTGTCTATTTTGAGGTGCTTTCCTGACACTGTATCTCAGAGAGAGGAAGTTATGGTCGAGGTGTCTTTGTTTCCAGAAGGCCCCTGGAAGCTTTGTACAAATTGATCTAGCTTTTCCAGGGCTACAGGGGCAGGGCAGCCTTGGCTAAACTGCAAGGGCGGATGGGAGCAAGATCTGGCTGCAGCGTCTTCTGAAAACCAGGGGCATGAAATGATGTATGCAAGTTGTTTTGCACTGATGAGTGCTTAGTTGCAGTTCAAGAGCTGTCCTGTGACAGCCCAGCCAACTAAGTGGTCTTGGAAAGGAGTTTGTTGTTTGTTTTCAATGGGCTGAGATTATCTGTTGGGCCTTCTAGAACAGCTGAGGCTCAGAAAAGAGGTGGCAACATATATGCGGTGCAAAGTACTCTGAGGAGACCAGCTTGGCTGCCACAGATATTTTGTATAAGGGTAAGGTAAGTGTTTGCTAAACTGGGAAGACAGGCTGATGAGGTAGTTTGCATAGAGGTTTGCAAGGATGTCCACACATGTAAATCTAATGATTTGACTACCCTCTGCTTTCTCCCCAGTTTTGGAGGGCTCATCTTGAACAAAACCATTTCTAAGCGGCAGTACAATGGCATGGCCATATTTACTCCCATCATATGTGGTAGGTATCAGCAGTCACCATCACGTAGGGTCCTGGGGGTGGAGGCGGGAAACTGAGCCATGGTGGTGCTGCTGAGCACGGGCTGTGAGGTCTGGTTTTTCTCAGCTAGAAGGAGACCCAGGGGGAGAAAGCCCTGCCCGCTCTTCCATGTTCTTCTCCTCGTATGCACCACTGCTACTGAGGCTGGAGCTTTCCAACAGAGCTAAATCCCATGCCTTGAAGGTGCACTGGGGTGAGCCTGGGATTTGCTGGCCTGCAGGATTCACCTGCAGACTGAATGTGGCCTTCAGGACTGCAGCATTGGCCTCTCATGGATTTTCTTTTATTTTAAATTAGCTTCATTGATGACATTTAAAACTTAAACATTTATATGTAAAACTGGATTTCTGTCTCCAAGCAAGGCTGTGACAAACTGGGCTTACGTTGAGGGAGGGGCAAGAACCAGCCACCACTGACCTGCACTGTCTGCTTTGCCTTGGTCCCCTCCATTCCCTTCCTTGCCTCCTGACCCTTCACTGATGATGTCTTCTAGGCTTAGGCCCTGTGGGTGATTGTGGTGAGGACCCCTCTGTTAACTAAAACTTGCTTTGTGTCTGGTTTCTGATAAGAATCTACAACTGGGACCAACTGATCAGGGAACCAGACATGACAACTTACTGTACAGTTTGCTTGGTGCCCTGACTCTGGGCTCCTGAGACAGCAGAGAAAGGCTTCAGAGTCCCTTAGGCACCCCCAGTTCTGTGGGAACCCAGGCCTATATTCCCTGCATGTGAGTGGGCCTTCCAGCAGGTCTGCACCCTGGTCAAGTGCCACAGGGCCTGTTCCCAGCGCGAGGGCTAGCCATGGTGAGGACAGCCACAGCTATGTCAGGCCCAGATGGCCGTCAACTTGGAGAGACTTCCTTTGGTGTCACCAACTTAGATGCCTCCAGGGCCAAGCGAGCAATCTGAGTGAGTTAAGCAGGTAAGACAGTAGCTAGCAGGAAGGAGTGGTGGGGAGCAGGAGGAACTGCAGAAGGCCTTCCTGGTGTGGAGGGAGTAGGGCCTGCTCAGCTTCAGCCAGTGGCTGCCTGGTGGGAACAGAGGTCCAGAATTGCCTGAGCTGACTTGGTAGGAGAAGCCAGGAATCTGGATTAAGGGTATGATTTGTAAATGTTGCCACTTAATTTGTTATTTTTTTCCTTTTTTAAAAAAAAATTTATGTGTGACCTGAGCCAAATGGTGGGCAGCCATCCTCTGCCACAGAAAGTTTGTGTGTCCTCTGGGGCAGCCAGGGCAGTTGGTCTCTGCCCCTGGAGGGCACTGGGGCACATCTGACCCAGTGAGGGGTTCTCTCTGGCCGAGGGAATGGAGCAGGAGCAGCCCTGCCAGCCCCATAGCCTGCTCCTGCAGAAGGAGTCCAGCCTGGCCTTGGTCACCCGCACCCTCTGACTCTGCAGAGCTGGGTGCCATCAGCTCCCTACAGAAGCAGGTGCCTTGGCAGCAAGCCCAGCTCTGTCACCACGTCACCACCCCTCCTCCTTCACAGCTGTCATCCACTGTTCTCTTGCCTCCTTCCACCTGCAGGTGAAACACGTCCTTTCATTTCCTCTGATACTCCAGGCTAGTATGGTCCTGTCATTCCCTATGACCTTGAGTGGCTTACCAGGATATCCTGTAGGCATCTCCATCCACCCTCCTCCCTCCCTTACCCTCACCCCTTTCCTGAATTCCTTCCCTTCCAGTCTCCCTCTCCCAACAGATATGTATTGAGAACCTACTTTGCCAGTCACACTTCCTTCACTTTAACAGGTGCTGCCTGTCAAGGTGATGGAGTTACTGCATTGATAACCTCACTCATGAGGTCTAGGCTACCTTTGCTTGGTGCCAAACAAGATCTGTGGTCAAGTGGGAGGGAAGGAAAAGGCCAAGTGCTGAATAAGTCAAGGAAGCCCTCCTGGAGGGAGTGAGCTCAAAGGATAGAACTCAGACTGGCATAAAGAAAGGAAGACCAGATTCTTTCTATTCCCACAGGTGTTGGTGGCAATCTGGTGGCCATTCAGACCAGCCGGATCTCCACCTTCCTGCACATGTGGAGCACACCTGGGGTCCTACCTCTCTGTATGAAAAAATTCTGGCCCAACCTGTGTTCCATTTTCTGCACCTCAGGTGGGTCTGGCATTTTCCAGAGGCTGTGTAGTCATTTCTTTAAACAGGTAAAAATGGTCATTGGAGGCTGGCACTTGTAGCAATGGACAGTTAGGACCAGTGCTGACCTCATCAAAGAGCATCTTCAAGGACACCAACTACTCCTCCCAGACACCTGACTCCCCAGTCGTGCCTTTAACTGATTCATTCATTTGCTCAAATATTTGTTGACTGTCTACCAGGGACTAGGTATCAAATCAGAGTGGTAAGAGGGAGGAAACTGATTCTCATGGATATACACGGTCTAGAAGAGTGAACACACACACAAAAAGGAGCACATATTTATAAACTGTGATATATTCTAAAAGGCAAAAACACAGGGTGTGATAAAAAGGAATTACAGGAGATTTCAGATTTGGGGCTAGAAAGTTCCTCTCTGAGGAAGAGCAGGGTTGGTTGGGAAGGGGCATGCTGGAGCAGAAAGAGCATTCCAGACAGAGGGAACAGTCTGAACAAAGGTCAGAGGCAAGAAGGATCATGGTGAGTTTGAAGAATTGAAAGGCCAGTGAGACGTGAGCATAATGAGCGAAGGAGAGGATGAAGGACCTTGAAGCCAGAGACATAGAGGGGAGCTGATTATAGGGTCTTGAAACTTGAGGAAAAGAGACTGAGAACCATTGGAAACATGGAAGGTTTTATCTTTCTGTTATATTTAAAAATTGAATCTTTTCTTCCATTATGTTTTCTTTCATCATTTCCTTTCTGTTTCAAGAACTACCTTTAGCCATTCTTTTAGGGTAGGTCTGCTGGCACATTCCTGAGGGATATTTTTGCTGACCATAAAATTCGGGTTAGATAGCTATTTTCAACACTTGAAAAATGTACTACTATTTGACCATGGTTTCTGACAAATTGCTGTCATTTGAATTGTTTTTGCTGTGTACATAAGGTGGTTTTTCTCTCTTGCTTATTTCAAGACTTTTTCTTCACTTTCTACTTTTGATTATGATGCACATTGGTGTGGATATTTTCGTGTTTACCCTACATGGAGTTCGTTTAGCTCCTTGAATATGTAGATTTATTGTTTGCCAAATTTGGGAAATTTTAAGTCATTACTTCTTTTATGTTCTTTCTCGGCCTCATTCTCTTCCTCCTGTCTTTCTGGTAGTCTCCTAACATGAATGGTAGATCTTTATTACAGCCTCAATTCCCTGAGGCTCTGTTCAACTTTTTTCCCCAAGTCTATTTTACTCTCTCTTGGTTAGATTGGCTAATTTCTATAGCTTTTTCTTCAAGTTCATTGATTCTTTCCTCTGTCCTCTCCATTCTGCTGTTGACTCATTCATTGAGTTGTTTGGGTTTTTTGGCTATGGTATTTTTTTCAGTTTTAAAATTTCATTCTCTTTGTATCTTCAATTTCTTAGATGATTTCTTTACTGAGACTTTCTATTTTTATCATTTGTTTCAAGTGTTTTTGTAGTTGCTGGTTGAAGCATTTTTGTAAAGGATCCCTTAAAATTGCTTTGGGATAATCCTATCATCTGTGTCATCTCCTTGTTAGTGTCTGTTGGTTGTCTCACCAAGTTGAAATTTTTTTGTTATAATAGGTGATTTTAGATTGAATCCCAGACTTTGGGGTGTATGTTATGAGAATCTGGATTTTACTTAAGTTCTTCTGTTTTTAGCTAGCCTCCTGTCAGACTGCATCACTGGGGGAAAGGAAGGGCACTGCTCCCTCACTGCCAGGCGGGGTGGAAGCCCATATTCCCCTCCGTCTCCACTGACACCCTGGGGGAGGAGAATCACCTCGTTACTTGTGGTCAAGGCGGGAGCCCGTGTTCCTCTGGCTGGGAGGGAGATGGGTAGAAATGAGGTTGCAGTTTTTCCTGTGGTGTTTGATTAGAATTTTCTTTTGGTCTGTGCCCACTGGCGTTTCCAGGTTGCTCATTTCTCCAGCACCCAATCTGAGATATATGAGGCGAAAAAAATCAGGGAACTCACTATCATGTTGTTCCTTGGGTCCTGAGGTCCCCAGCCAGTTTGCCTTTTCTCTCTACATTTCAGAATTTTATGTTTGTTTTATATATACTGTCCAAGGTTTCAGTTGTATTTAGTGAGAGGACAGGAAGAAGTATGTGTATCCTGTCTTATCTAGAAGTCCCAATTGTATTTTCTGACAGGTCATTTGTATATAGAAAAGCTATCTACTTTCTATATTACTTATGTACCTGCCTTAGCTCAGGCTGCAATAAAAGGAATAGAATGGGTAACTTGTAAACAATAGAAATTTATTCTTACAATTCTGGTGGCTGGAGTCCAACATCAAGGCACAAGCAGATTCTGTCTGGTGAAGGCCTGCTTCCTGGATCATAAACAGCTTTCTCCTCACAGTGGAAGGGGTGAGGGAGCTCTCTGAGGTCTCTTACATGGGCACCAATCCCATTCCTAGGGACTCCACCCTCATGACCTTGTCACTTCCCAAACACCCACCCTCCAAACACCAGTGTACTGGAGGTTAGGATATAGCACATGGATCTAGCGGAGACACAGACATTCAGACTATACCAGTGCCTAAATATTTTGCTGAATTCTTACTGTTTATGTGTAGTGTTTCTGTAGATTGTCCTGAGTGTTAATACCAGCTACCAAAAGTAATTATTTTGCTTCCATTTTTTTTTTAAAGAATCTGTGTACCTTATCTAATTTTTCATTATGATTAGATTTTGGTACTTGTGTGTTCTCATTCTCTGTATAGATTATTTTATGCTAGACTTTTTAGTTTCTAAGCTACATATGATTTTCCCCCTTATTTGATGAAATGCATTAACTCAGAGGGAAATGGAGTCTTACTTTTTACTGAAACTATTTCTATTTGAGAAGCCAATCACATTGACGTGTCATAGTTTTTTAAAGTGTTGGTGAGTGGGACAGGGTAAATTACATTCCTTGCAGAGTCTCGGAGAGACTCCTTGAGCTCTGCAGCCTGAAGGAAACATGCTGACAGGCTCCCAGAGGCTAATGAGAAAGGGGCTGCCTGAGGGTCCCGTGAGTGCGCCACCCTCCCTTGACCGCTGACTCTTGTTGCACATGCTGGAGCTCATCTCCACCTTAAGCCCCTCGCTGCTCTTTCCTCTGCCCAGAATCCCCTCCCAGGTTCAGATCTCAGCCTACGTGTCATCAACTTGAGAGGGCCTCTGGCCCCAGGAGCTCACCTACACTGAAGTACACTTCCTTCTCTACCACGTTACCCTGGTTTATTCTCCTCCTAGTACTCTGAGGTTTTGTCACACTTTTCCGGTTTGTTTCTGCTGCTTGATTCTGGCTTTTCTCTCCTCCCTAAAATGTCAGCTCCAAGAGGGAAGGAACAGGACCATCTCCCCATGTGCTGGAACATGCTCACCATGTAGTATGTGCTCGGTAAACACTCGTGTGGTAGATGAGTGAATGTGGTGCCTCCCTGCAGGCTGCCGCATGCTGAGGTGGCCTTTGCTGCTGCACGGGTCACACAGCTCCTTGGCTCTGTTTCTTCCAGAAATCAATTCCATGTCAGCCCGAGTGCTGCTTTTCCTGGCAGTCCCAGGCCATCTCATTTTCTTCTATATCATCTACCTGGTAGAAGGCCCTTCAGTCCCACACAGCAAGACCTTCATGGTATTCTACCTGTTGGCAGGCCTGGTCCAGGTAAGGACAGCTGTCGTGGAAGTCAGCCAGCAAGCTTTGTCCCCATCCTGGCAGAGATGCTTGTGGTGGTGTAGGGGCGGGGGGGTCTCCTGGACACACAGGGCACAGTCCCCATCTTCCAGGAGTCGAGTCACCTTGTTCATGCCCAAGGGCATGATCCACAGAGGCCACTGCACACTTTGTGCTACACATGGCACACAGCACACTCCGCGCCAGAGGTTCCAAGGAGTGGGCTGAGGGTGTGCTGAGTTGCCGTGAAGCAAGCTGATGAGCAGATCCAGCTGTTGAACTGGGCCACATGGGTCATTCATCCCAGGGTGGGCAGGGGCGAGGCCCCTGGTGGTCTGGGTGGGCTTTAGTCTGGGCCAGATGGTGATCAGGACATGATGAAAGTGATCCAGCTGGCACCTGCCTGGGGTGGCATCAGCAGGCATCTGCCTGGACTCACC